TGTCGTTTTCTTGAAGCCAATTCAGTCCAGCTGCTCGCCAAAGCAGGCTCCCAGCTGCAGGAGCTGGTACCCTCCCTGCCCAAAAGCCGAGGCCTGAGCCCGCAGGCCACGATAGCTCCCAAACCAATGACTTCCTCTGCAAATGTCTCAGACTTGCCACCACCCCATTCTTTTCCCCTTTTCTGTGGATTGTACATGAATCATTTTTGCTCTAAATTACTGATTTACCAGTGAGACACTGAATCCATTCCAAACTCCTAGACCTGAGAGTCCAGCTTTCCTTCCCAGTATATCTCCCAACACCCTCCTGTGTGCATAAGCCGGCCTAACTCCTCCCAGGGCACTCTGCTCCTTAGTTAAGGGCACAGCTCAGTGCCCTGGGATTTATGATGGGCTTTCTAGACCCTTCCCCTTTCCCAGTCACCTTCCTCTTCCAAATGTCACATCACAGAGATTATGTCCTCCATTCTTGGCCAGCTGTTAATTCCAAACCTGTCGCTGGATCAGTAACCTGTCAGTGGGTATAAATGTCTCTTCCCACTGATCCACCCACATATCCCCATGTGTTGAATTCAAGAAGAAATCCTTAACATCAAAGGAAACTTCCAGTATCAAAAAGCAAGAGACCTTGGAAGAGAATTTATTGAGTGAATGAAGGACCCAAAATAACAAAGTTAGAATGGCTGGATGATTTGTGGGTACTTAGGGGCCAAGGAGCTCCCCATACCCTACTCCCTAATGTCTTTTTTTTTTTTTTTTTTTGAGACAGAGTTTCACTCTTGTCACCCAGGCTGGAGTGCGATGGCATGATCTTGGCTCACTGCAACCTCCACCTCCCAAGTTCAAGCCATTCTTCTGCCTCAGCCTCCCAAGTAGTTGGGATTACAGGTGCCTGCCACCACGCCCGGCTAATTATTTTGTATTTTTAGTAGAGACGGGGTTTCGCTATGTTGGCCAGGCTGATCTCGAACTCCTGACCTCAGGTGATCCGCCCGCCTCGGCCTCTCAAAGTGATGGGATTATAGGCATAAACCACCGTGCCTGGCCGCTACTCCCAGATGTCTTACATAAAGCAGCCTCTTTCTGGCTTGGAGGAAAAGATCAATGAGGCACATGGAAAGCCGGAGTTCCATATTCTAGAAGAGCAAGTGCGCATGTGTGTGCATGTGTGTGCGTGCGTGTGTGTGGACAGTGTGTGTGCCTGTGTGTACAGCATCCCAGTGTTCTCCCACCCCTAAAGAGATTTGGAGACAGAGAGAAAAGTCTTCTGCCCTTGTCCTAGGTGTTTCTCCTCACCAACCCCAACAGACCACACTTGGGAGAAAGGTTGTGGGCCGGCCCCCTTCCAAGCTGGATTTCAGCAACATTGCCAGCTTCTGTTGAAACAGATCAGAAAGGGTCCACTCCAAGCATGTATTGTAGAGCTTTTCATGCTTCCAATTTCAATGTCATTGACTTTGTAGAAGCAACCTATACCTCGGGTTTACTCTTGATACATCAAGAACTTTGATTTGTGCCTCCTCCTGTCTCCTTGATCATTCCCGAATTCGTATTCTTTCTTCTGTGGCCTCCTTATCCATTTCTATAGGAACTGTAAATGTTGCACTGGGGATGATTTTGTTTTTGTGTGTGTGCTTGCTCAGAAAATGGGCCCATTGATCTTTATTTGAGGTGAAGAAAAAAATCTAAAAAGATCATTACTGGTCCTTTTATTTCTCTCTAGGCTTCCAACGAGTAGTGTTTTTTTTGCCTGGGATCCTCTCTACAGCTGGGAGAGGCTGGGAACTGAGGTGCTGACAGCTTGTGTCGGAATCGCATAGTGTTTACTGTGCTGTGAGTTTATAACAGCCTTGTTTCCATACTGACAGCAAATGCCATATGGAGAGAAAAAAAATCTGTCAGATGAACCCTTAAGGGATCACAATATGGCACACGAAATCTCAAAACTGCTTTTGGAAAAGGTGGGGGTAGAGGGGTACCTTGCTTAAATCACATAAGCAGCATGGTGCTCTCTCCCATAATTGAATAAAAATGGAATTTGACACAAGGTACTTTACTTTGGTTCTGTGTTTGTGCTGGGAAAAACTCGGCTGATTGGGAAAAGATGCAAAGGTTTGTTTTCCTCCCCTTGGGGGATTGTGTTGAGTGGGAGGCAACGGGAATGCAGGCTGTATCTGCAGGGCATTGTGCTAACAGGTGCAGGCTGCAGACCTGTCACAGGCGCTGAGACCAGGTTCCCTACTGTGGCTGATGATCACACTCATCTAGCTTGACATTTTATTACTGTCACTTGAGATCTTGTCTATTCACCCACACACACTCCTGCTGACCTCTCCAGTCTGAGTCCAACCTCCCTGCGGGCTGGGACCACATCCCTAGGTACCCCTCCCCGTCAGAACCTGGCATACACTGAGGCTAAATGCTTGTTGAAGTGGCTATTTGTGAACCATCTGTGCTGGGAGCGGTGTAGACTGCACCCACGGCTGAAGGGCAGTTTAGGCTGCAGTCCAGGGCTAGTTGGAGCCACAAAACCATTTGGGAGTGGGCCAAGAGGGGACTTGGCAGGTTGCTCATCCACGCTGATCCAAATACTCACTCGGGAGAGAATGAAACGTTTTAGAGTGCCTTCTTCTACATACGCTACTTAGATCTGGCGAGCTCCTCCAAAAAAACCCCTGCCCTCAGGCAGGTTACCCATGAAAGAAGTGGGCCTGGCCGCGGCTCTTTCCATTCCAGGAGGCAGACAGTGGAGTGCTGAGGCCGTGTCGCCATGTCGCCGTGTCCCCGTGTCCCCGTTCAGTGAATAAATGCCTGGGAGGGAGGGGCTGCCTTCAGGGCTCCTCTCTCCGCTCAGCTCCGCTTGTATGCCGGCTGCGTCCTCCATGGGCTCTCGCTGCGTGGGGGAAGGCAGTCTCAGCAGCCCTCGGCTGAGCAGTCATCCCGAAAAGCCCTCCTGGCATCCCAGGGAACAGACAGTATCTTTCCTGGAAGTTCTGGCAAAAGCCCTGGGAGGACTCCAGGGCCCCCACGGATCACAGGCCCTGACCTGATTGGCTAGAACTGAGTCATGGCCACCCTTGAACCTGTCGTCATGGCCAGAGAGAGAGGCCTCTGACTGGCTATGACTAAGTCACGTGTCTATCCGTGACCTTAGCACTGTGGCCAGGAGACAGAGGCCTTTTGATTGGCTATGACTGAGTCACGTGCCTGTCTCCGTAGCGTGGGAGGTCTCAGCTCCCTTTTTAGATTCAGAGGCATGGGTTGAATTGGTACAGACTGGGAGAAAGGAGGTTCCCTAAAGGAAAGGGAGATGGAACAGACCAATGATCACATCCATAACGATGAGAAATGGGGTTTATTAATGTGCCAGCATCTGGTTTGAGTGCTTTCTATGTATTGTCTTATTCATTCCTCAGGACGGTCCTAGGAGTTAGGTCCGCTCACCGTCCCCAGTTTACAAACTAGACAAGTGAGGGGCAGTGTCAAGCCTCTTGCCCCAGGTTACACAGGCAGTGAGCAATGGGCTGGGATTTAAACCAAGGTGGTTTTGCTCTGGAGCCCACACTCACACTCACAGCTACCACGAGATCCTCCCTGCGGGCAAGCCTTAGCTTTACATCCTATGGATAAGCATTTTGAGACTAAGAATCCAAGTGCGCTAGCGCAGTGGTTGTGTTCATATCCCCTTGTTGCCTGGCATATCTCAAGAGAAATCCTTTCTAGGGGGCTGGTATCTTACCTCCTTTACACCAAGTAGACTGTAGTCATCCCTTTCCCCCAAGTTGCTCTCCTTCCCAGGCTCCATCGCCCTCTTCCCAGTTTCCCATGAACTCACCCGACTGTGTCCTGTGCAGCTGCAAAATCGATGGCCTAGTGTTCGGTGCTCCAGAGAGCCCAAGGCGGCATGTTTCAGTGGTTCCTTCGAGTATCTTCCGGGCCAGAGAGAACTTCTTGGAGAGGCTTTAGCATCACTGCAGGAAGAACCAAAAGGGAAGGGGCCCCCATCCCAACTACAGCATGCCCTTCTGGTTTTCAGAGAACACAGAGGCCCAGAGAGGGCAAGTGAATGGTTTGAAGTAACACAGCAAATTGTTGGCTAGCACCGTGGTCTCTGGGCCTCTTGGTGGGAGTCTTGCAGTATTTGCTCTTTCGAATCCTCTTGGCTATTGAGTGGGTAAGTGCGGGTGACTTCCTGTCTCCGTGCCTTTAGTGCCTAACTGGAAAAGGCAGGGTTTTCATAATTTGAAGCGTCCTAAGACTGGGCTTTTCTCCAGTTGGGCAAAAATGATTTTTTAAAAATGTATCCATTAGGATGCTTTGAATTACAAGTAATTTCTAAAAATGTTCAAACTGCCCTAAACAAGGAGAATGTGTTGTCTCATAAATCAGCTTTTCAGATGTGGTTTGAGCTACAGGCATGGTTTGATCCAGAGATTCATGACATCACCAGGGCACCAACACTACTTCCTGTAATTTCCCAGCTCTCACCTCCTTGATGTGTCAGCCTCATCCTCATAGCGGCTTCTCTTGCAGTGTCAAGAACACTGTTGCAGCACCTGGCCTCACACCCACTCACCATGACCTCCAGAGGAAGAGAGCGCCTCTGCTCCAGTGTTTCCAAGCAGTCTGCGGTCCACTCTGATTCAACTGGCTTACATTACAGGCCTGCAGTCACTGTACTCAGAGAATGTGATGTGCTTAATGGCCACCAAGGAGATGGAATCACAGTCCCCAGAACTGCTGGCATGTCCATACAGAAATCAGAGCATTGGACCGGGGGCGTGGAGTGGGGAGTGGAGGCTGGGTCGTCACTGGTGCCTTCTTCTACACTGACATCTCTCTGAGTCTTCAGAGACCATGAAATGAAGAAGGGGTTCTGAGAGTTTGCCAGTCACCTTACTCCATCCATCTGGGGCTCTGAGCCCAGGTGAGGGAATGACAGGAAGGCCCTGCCTGGCCTTCTCCTGGGTCTCATCACATTCTTCTTTTCTTGTCTCCAGACAGAGATTACTGCAGTTTATGTGACAAGCAGCCAATCGGGAGGCTGCTTTTCCGGCAGTTTTGTGAAACCAGGCCTGGGCTGGAGTGTTACATTCAGTTCCTGGACTCCGTGGTAAGTTCCTGCTCCTGTGGTCGTGTGGTCCTCTGTGATCAGTGATTGTTTTGGCTCAAAGGAAAAGATAGACCTCATGGTTTAGAAGAGTGCTTACAAAACTCCCACTACAGACTTTGATTAGGAATGCAAAATTGTCTCAGGATCTAAACTCATGGGTGACCTTGGGTGGGCCCCTTCCCTTCTGGACCTTAGTTGCTGTTGCTATAAAGTGGAGCCCTATCAGCTCTTTGATTCTGGAAGTCTGGGTTATTATGGGAGGCAGGGCCTGGGGAAGTTAGGCCTAGCTCTTGGATCTGGTGGCCCCTTCCTCCAGCTGAGAACCCATTTTATAGAATTCCACAGCTTTTGTGAGTTTGTACAATTGTTTATTGTCAGCTTCCCCATTAGAATGCAAGCTCCCTGAGGGCAGGACCCTAGGCTGGCATCCTGTTCACACCTGCCTCATGCAGTGCCCAGCATCTATGGGCACTCAATAAATGTCAAATGAAGCGCATGGCTGTCAAGCCGGTCTGACTGCCAATGGCTCCACTGGGCTCTGGCATGGATGACATGCCTGACACCATGGAGGCTTCCTTCGGATGTGCTTGTTATGCATTTGTTTAACAAATGTTGATTGATTGCATGGGTTTTTAAGACAGGTTGTGGGAATAGTCAGGAGTTCCTCCGCACCTGCCCAGGAAGCCTGGGCACCTTGGTTCAGCCAAGTGCCCTTGGGTTTTTATCCGAGGAAGGAGGACAAGAGGGGAGAAGAAGGAATGGGGAGCGGTCATGAAGGGTGTGAAGTCATCCAGGCCCCTCCCCTCTCCCCCAGGTGCAGGGGCTAAGAGGCTGCTGTTTCCTAAAAGCCCTCATGCCACCATTGGCTGCTGCCATCCCGACCTCTATCTCAGTTTGGGGAACAACCCTTTAAGATTTCAAGTCTCTGTATCTGCTTCAGGATCTCAATGTGCATCTCTAGACTCACAAACCAAATTGCCCACTGGACATCTCCACTGAAGTCACAAAGGCCGCCTTAAAGTCAGTAAGTCCCAAATGCACTCAGCACTTTCTCCCAGGACCCCAAAGCTACCAGCCCTGAGACATTACCTGTTCCAGTGACCAGCACCCTACAGTCACCCGAGACTGAAATCTTTGCACTCTTTAATGCCTTCCCCTCCTCATCCTTCCCCAACCTGATCAAGGCTCATGTGCTTGGCTCCTTGACCCTGCCCAGGCCAGCTCCCTCCCCTCCGCAGGCTCTGCCTTGGGCTTAGGGGAGGCTCTGCCTTGGGCTTCGGGCAGATTCTTGGCGCCTCTTGTATGAGTGATTACAGTAGTTTTCAATCTTGGCTGGGCATTAGAAACACCTGGGGAGCCTTAAAAACACACCAGAGCCTGAGCTGAAGCCCAGACCAATTAATGTGAATCTCTGGAGGTGGGGCCTAGTATTTTTATAACTTTTTATTATGGAAAATTTCAAGCTATAAAAAGTAAAGTCTACAGAATAGTGTAATGAACCCCCAGGCACCCTTCACCCCACCTCAACAATTATGAACTCATGGCCAATCTTCTTTCATCCATTCCTCCATCCTCCACTCTGTAACATTTTGTAGCAAATTTCATATATTATCTCATCTGTGAACTTTTCAGTATGTATCTCTGAATAAGAGCTCTTTAAAAAATAGTATTATCATAGCTTTAAAAATTATTTACTATCATCAAATGTTAGTATTCAGATTTCCAGCATTCTCATACATTTTATGTGTATTTGTTTGAATTGGTCTGGATAAGGTCCACACATTGTGATCGGTTGATGTTTTCTTTACTCTAGGCTCCCCCTAAACCATCTATCCCCCTTTGTAATACATTTGTTGTTCCTACAGAAGAGCTTCCCACAGTCTGAATTTTGTATTCTTATCCCCAAGTGTCATTTAACAGGCTCCTCTATATTTCTTTTTTTTTTTTTTTTTTTTTTTTTTTTTTTGAGACGGAGTCTCGCTCTGTCACCCAGGCCGGAGTGCAGTGGCGCGGTCTCAGCTCACTGCAAGCTCCGCCTCCCAGGTTCATGCCATTCTTCTGCCTCAGCCTCCCGCGTAGCTGGGACTACAGGCTCCTGCCACTGTGCCCAGCTAATTTTTTTGTATTTTTAGTAGAGACAGGGTTTCACCGTGTTAGCCAGGATGATCTCGATCTCCTGACCTCGTAATCCACCTGCCTCAGCCTCCCAAAATGCTGGGACCACAGGCGTGAGCCACCGCACCTGGCCAGGATCCTCTATATTTCTTATGCATTGCTAGTTGGATGTAGAAACTTGACCAAATTCAGTTTCCCTTTTTGTGTGTGGAGTGGGATTCGACTTCCTCAGTGGTTTCATGTTCTTCCATCAGGGGGCATATACCATCTGGTTGTCTTTCTTTTTGAAATGGTAGCAGCTATTGCTAGTCTGTATGTGAATCTGTTAGTTAAAAAGGACTTGCAACATGGCAACATTCTAATTCTGCCATGCCGTCTTCATTTGCCAACAGAGGCACTTCCTTTTGATGACCATGTGGTGACCTAGTGGTAAAGTTCATAGAGGAAATGGTTGATTCTTTTCTTGCATTAATGTTTCTAAAATACCAAACTGGTTCACTACCATCCTCTAGTAGCAGTAACTAATTAGAGTTTTTAACTCATGGTTGTAGACATGTTGCGTGTGTACTGTTGCACCGTAGTCATTATCCTGACTGATGCTCATGGTCTCATCCCTGGCTAGTGGGGGCATCTCCAGGTTGGCTTTGAGTCCCTGGCTGGACTCCAGCAGTTATCAGTAGTCTCCTTGCTGTCTGATATGACGCAAGGTTCTGGGCTCATCTTATACTAGATCTATTGTTTTTTGGAGGAGCTGTGATTCCTTTTACTGGGACACAGTAGTTGCAGGCCATAGTTTGGCACAAGGCTTATTACCACTAGGCTAGCCATCGATTCTAACACCTATTGGCATTTTTCACATCTCCCAGGGGTTTAGTGTGGATCCAGGGTTGGAAAGTAATGACATCTAGGATAAAGTCCAGGTTCTGAAACTGACTTACCAGATCTTCCAGCATCAGCTCCTGCCCACCTTTTCACCCTTGGCCTTCCCAGAGTCTTTCTTCAGCCCTGTGTTCTGGCCTCACTACCCACTTCTAGCATTTGTGACTTACCAGGAGAGTTCAAGCCTCTTGGCCGTAGCTCTCTCAGGCCTCCCTGCCCGAAATCCTCCCCTTTGCCTGGCAAATGCCTGCTTGTCCTTCTATCCTCTGTTCACAGAAGTCCTCCCAATCTCCCTCTTCCTGTCTCTTCTCCTGTGCCCCCCTGCTGTGGGTGCTTGCTTCTCACATGCACCTGAGCCACATTGCTGCCCCATGCTGGCAGAGCTGCATTGATGGAGAGTGCAGGCTCCAGAGATAGGATGCCAGGACATCGTGGCTCTGCCACCATCCCTTGGCGAGACCATGCATGGGCAGGTGTTGAACCCCTCGTGTACTTCGTGTCTTCATCTGTAAGTGGGGATATAGCTGTATCTGATGATGGGAGAGGTGTTAGGTAGAGACTACATGAGTGCTTACTGCTCAGAACCATGTCTGGAATAGCACTGAGGCTCAGTGAATGTAGCCATTGAGGGCTTTGTGTGCCTGTTCCTCCACTAGCCAAGCCTCTTGGTGGCACAGACGTGGCCCATGGTCTGTGAATCCTCAGCCCGCAATGCCACACCTAGCAGTTGAGTGATACTCAGATTGGGCCCAGTGGAGGTTGGTGACTTGCCTAAAGTCACAGAGCATGTGAGGGGCAGAGGTAGGCCCAGAACTCAGGTCTCCTGGCTCCCGGTCCAGGCTCCTTCCTCGGCATCATGCTGCATCTGAGGCCATGAGCATAATAAGCCAATGACATGGAATGTTTGAAGGCGAGAACTGGGATGGAAAAAGAAGAACTAGAGCAGGTTAAAGGAGGTTGGGAGTGTGGATATGGGGAGGCTGGTTGTATCATGAAGTAGGACGGTCAGCATAGGAGTCTTTGAAAAGGCAACGTTTGATTGAGGACCAGGAGGAGCTGGAGGAGTTAGTCAAGTGAATATGTGGTGAAAGGGCATTACAGGCAGGGAACAGCCAGCACAAAGGCCTGCAGACACGAGTGTCTGCAGTTGGAGGGGAGGGAGGAAGGGCAGAGGGGGTAGTAGAGAAGTTGATCATGTAGGACTTTGTGCCATCAGAGAACTTTGACTTTGAGAGAAATGAGGGAGCCACTGGAGGGTTTTTAGCAGAGCAGTGGCGTGGTCTGACTTGAGGTTTGGTTTTGTTTTGTTTTGTTTTGTTTTGTTTTAATGAGACAGGGTCTCACTCTGTCATCCAGGCTGGAGTGCAGGAGTGGGTTCGTAGCTCATTGCAGCCTCAACCTCCTGGGCTCAAGTGATCCTCCTGCCTTGGCCTCCCAAGTAGCTGCAAATACAGGTGTGCACCACCATGCCCATCTGTGCCTTAGGTTTTTAAATGATCCCTCTGGCTTCCATGTTGGGAGCAGGCTTTGAGGGGCAGAGGTGGGAGCAGGGAGATCTGCTAGGAGGCTATTGCAGCAGTCCAAGTGAGAACAGCTGGTGGCTCAAGCCAGCATGGTAGCCCCTGGCAGTGGTGAGAAGTGGTTGGATTTGAGACTTGTGTGGAAGGTGGAGTTAACAGTATTCTCTGATGGACTGGGGATGAGAGAAGAGTTAAGGAAGACTTCAAAGTTTTGACCTGAACAAATAGAAAGATGGATTTAGGAAAAGGCTGTGGGAAGGTCACCCTGTGGGGAAAATCAAGAGCTCCGCTTCAGGCACACATGCCTTGGGATGTCTACCAGATGCTTGAGTGGAGAAGCTCCAGGGGAGATGGGTATTCAAGTCAGGCTTCATGAGAAAGGTCTGGGCTGGAAATGGAAAATTGGGAATTGTCAACTTTTTAAAAAAAATTTTTTACTTTTGAGACACAGTCTTACTCTGTCGCCCAGATTCGAGTGCAGTGGTG